GGATGGTCACCACACAAGGCCTCTTCTGTGATGGGCAGGGATCTTTTTGGATATTCTTCAGCCTTGGGAAACTTCCTACACTGAAGTAGAACAGCTGCCAGTCTGTGCAAGCTATGCACAACATCTGGATAATGATTAGTCAATGCTGCCATTCTGATGCTTAGTGACATGCTGTAATGATCTTCAGCCTCAGGCAGCTTGTGCTGAAAACCCAATGCTGTTCCCAGCTTGCCAAGACTAGCAGCAACAGCCAGGTGCTGGATGCCGAAGACCTGTTCTCTTATGCACGAGGCTTTGTTGTGGAGTTCCTCAGCCTGCACATACATTCCCCAATCCAGATTGTCCTGGCTTTCTGCAGTATCTGGATAGCCATCACCAATATTTGTTTTCTGATGGCCAGTTCATGCTTGGCATACGTTTCGGATTCAGAAGACTTCCCTTGCTTCCACATCAACTCTCCCAGGCCGTTGAGGCTTTGTGCAACGTCTGGGTGCACGACCCCTAGACACCTCTCCCTGATTGACAATGGCTTGAAAAGATGCTCTTCTGCCTTCAGCTACCTACCTTGCTCCATTAGAACCCATCTCAGCCAGTACAGGGCCTTTCTAGCACTTGGGTGATCAGCACCAAAGCAATTCTGAACCATGCCAACTGCTGTGGAGGCAGACTTGCTGGCCTCGGGGAAATTTTCTTGGCCAACCATCACCTCTGTCAAGCCAAGGAGACTCTCTGCAGCAGCTGAATGGAAGTCGCCTAGAATCTGCTTCTGGATATTCAATGCCCTGCAGTGGTGTTCCTCAGCATCTGGCAGTTTGCACTGTATATGCAGTGTCTTGCACATACTGTGCTAATTCCGTGCAGACTGTAAATTGGAATTATCATTTGCAATATCCAACACCCTGCTGGGCCTCTGACAGCCTTGCCAGATCAATAAAGGCCATCCCAAGTTCACTCAGGATGTGTGCCCAATTCAAGTTGCCGCCACCACAGTCGCACGCTTTGCTTGGATGCGAAGTCTGCATCTCTACCCTGACAACCATCCAGGCCATCCAGGCCACATCTCAGAAACAGTAATTAAATGCCTGTCTGTTGCACACGTGTCCACCACAAAAGAAGTTGTAGAAAGATGTAGAAGTAAAGATGCAAAGATATGTTAGACATCACCAATTCTGAACTGCCAGTCTCCCCTTGCCCCAACTGAGACTAACTCCCTCAAAGGAAAGAATGGCGCAACCGAGCGCCATAAAGCACTAAACCTTGTTCCATCTGTCCCAATGCTTTAACGTCAAATTTCTCCTTCTTGAGAGTGGGCACTCATTTGGAGATGAAGCCGCTGGGATCCTCACATAGCCCTCCACCTTCTTGATGGATGGCATGGGACCCACAATCTTTGTCAGGATGGGGACATCGCCTGAACTCTTCAGTGAGCTCTACTGCTTTGGAAAAAAACAAATGGAAAAAAGAAAGCGACATCCGGACATATTTCCAGGGGGATTTGTTTCATGGCAGTTAGACGCGGTAACTCATTTCGTGCACCCCTTTTTCTTTTTTTCCCCGTGGCTCAACCCCTTCGCCGGTCCATGCCGCCGCCTCCACCACCCAGGACCTCCGCCCCGTTCTCTGCGCCCACTCCGGCGGCCCTCTCCCCCCACACTCGCACGACAGCCGCGGGCGGACCTGGGCCTCCGGATCCAAAACCTGAAAGGTGGCGAGAGAAAGCAAACGGTCAAACAGCCGCTCGGCAACAATCACCGTCACTTCAGAACCCTGCCCACGGCCCTGCCCCGATGTTCGACCCCGCCCCGCATCAGGCGACGGAAATCGCCGCCGGGCGGGGGGACCTCGGGCCCAGCCGTGGTCCCCTGTAGCGGAGGCGACGATCGACCACGGGGCCGCGGGGTCATGGAGGGCCTGGAGGAGCGATCCAGGCCGACGCCGTGCGGGATGCTGTCCGCTGCCGGTTGCCCATCTCCCCGGACTGGCGGCGCGGGCGAAGAAGGAGGGGCCGGGCGGCACGCGGCGGCCGGGGCTGCCGATCGGCATGGGTGGGACGGGGCCCCTGGAACCATTCCATCGGCGCCTGGCGGCATGCGCCCTCGCGCCTGGGCCAAGGGCAGGGGGCGGGAGAGGAGCCAACGGAAGGCGTCCCGGGATGGGGTGCTCGACCATCCGGTCGGACCCGCTGGCCCAGGGAGCGGTCGTCCGGGCTGACCGCGGGACTGTGCGTCTCGCCTTCGCGCGTTTGAGCGCGGCACCGGTTTGGCGGCGCCTCTCGTGGGGCGTGTGCCGTGGAGCCGCGCACTCGCACGAGCGAAAGGTGGCAGTACTTAAGGTGGAGCACGACTCGAGGCGGGTGGCCCGCCTCGCTGTCCGCCGCTTTCCACCGCTTCCCACCGCCTCGGCAAGGCTTGCTGCTCGCATTGACGGCTGTGTACTGAGACGGTGTCAAAGTTGCGAAAGGGGGTTTTCCCAGGTTTCCCCACTGCTGCGGATCGCGTATGCAGAGCGTGCATAGTAACGTAGCGCTTGGCCTCGTTTTGCGGAGAAGACAATAGTACAATTACCGCTCTCTTAACAGCATTTTTTTCAGAGCAACGTCAGAGAAATTAACACTCTTGAAAAAATGCAGAGCAAAAAGCCTAACCATAGGATTGCTTAATGCAGAAGTGTTGAATATGTCACGGCAGCAGAGCGAGCATACACTAGTGCCTGCCGACTCAACCTGCCCTGCATTCTGTGAAATGGCATTTCTTGGCCAGCATGTGGCGCAAGCTTACCCGTATAGCACAGTGGTAAAACTTCTGCGCCCGAGTAGTTATCCTGCACTTAGCCACCACGTGAATCTCAATCACTGGCCGGGATTACCGCCCATAGTGATATGGTTTGGCGAGCACGGCGCAGCAGTTCGACGATTACCCCAGGAATCCATTGCAGCGTAATTGGAAGGGAATATATTTAACTTCATGCCAAATATTGTTGAGCCTGGTACCAACTGCCACTGTACCAAATCAAATTGAAACTAGTACCAGTGCATATTGAACCTGGTACCAAATTCGCGCTGGTACCAAAAATGTTAACGTTGTACCAAAAGATGTTGAACCAATTAGTCATCAAATTGCCGCCGCCATATATAGGGGGCTCATAGACCCTAGAACCTAAACTCTAAAACATAAGCAAGCTCAATGCTTGTTGCGAGGCTGGTCGCAGGCTGCCATTCAACAATTTTTTGATACACTGATCAGCATTTTTTATACCGATGTGTATTTGGTACCAGATTCAATATATGTTGGTGCTAGGTTGAATTTTGTTTGGTGCGTCAGCAGTATTGTACCAGATCCAATATGCATTGGTGCTGGTCCCAAATTTATTCGGCATGGTGGCAGTTCGCTACCAAATTCGATACTATTTTGTACAGAGTTAAATGTACGCGAATTGGAAGTACGGGCGCTGAAATGAACGGTCATGGCAGACATCAACACGCTGGTGCAATGTACAACAGGTGACATGGAGCGGTGAAAGGAGCTAACAGATGAGAAGACGCAAATTCGATACACTCTGAGCGCTCAAATGTTGGTGTTGATCCTGGGAGCCATCCCTCCCAGGACTGCAACCGTGCAGGAAGTCCACCAGCAAGAGGAAGTCCATCAAAGACCATAGCACTCGAGATGGAGCCCGTATCAGCGTGGTTAGAAGCCATGTCCTGGCATTTGAGCAATAAAATCGGAAGATGCTCATCTAGATCCACTGAAACGTGCAACAGTCACCTCTGGGCTCTGTAAATGGTAAGCTACAAGGGTCTAGCAAAGATTGTGCCTGTGGCCCCAGACGTCGTCCAATTTGTCCAGAATTACGGGCACATCGTGATGGCCATCGCCCACCAACCTCTTCCTGATCTCTAGGCACGTCTCCAGCGCCTCACCAGCATCTTCGAGTTTCTCCTGTTCGTATAATGCCAATCCCAAATAGTACAAACTCACTGAAACGTCCTCGTCGACATCTCCCTGAGCCAGCCTTTTGAGGGCCACGGCCTCCTTCTGGCATCCCTCTGCCTCTTTGTACTTCCTCTGCATGTGCAGGGCTGATCCTAGCCACCCCAGCGTTCGCGCAATACTGGGGTGGCCTTCACCAAAGGCAATTTTCCTGATAGCCAGGGCTGTCTTGAGATGCTCCTCAGCTTGAGGATGCTTGTCCTGCCTGTATGCCGTCACTCCCAGCCACTCCAGCCTCGATGCAATGTCTGGGTGGCCATCTCCTAGGGCCCGCTGTGTGATGTCCAAGGCCCTTGTGAAATGTTCCTCCGCCTTGTGGAAATTCCCTTGCCCCTGCATGGCCGCCCCCATGCTGCTCAAGCTCTCGGCGACATCCGGATGCTCGTCGCCCAGCACCCGCACCCTGATGGCCAGGGCGGCCTTGTGGCAGTCCTCAGCGTCAGAAAATTTGCGCTGCCTGTTCATCAAACACGCCAAGTGGTGCAAGCTTGATGCAACGTCCGGATGCCCATGCCCCAAGACTCGCTTCCTGATGCCCAAGGCCCTGTTGTAGCACTCCTCGCCCTCAGTGTCCCTGCCTTGTTCGCACATTGCTGCCCCGAAGTTGCTGAGGCAAGTTGCAAAATCCGGATGCTGGTCCCCAAGAGCTTGCCGCTTTATCTCCATGGCCCTGGCAAAGAAATCTGCAGCCTCGGCAGATTTGCCTTGCTCGTATAGTAAGATGCCCAGGTTGTTGATGCTTTCAGCAACATCTGGATGCCCATCTCCCAAAGCCAGCTTTCTTATGGCAAGCGCTTGCGTGTTGTACTCCTCAGATTTGGGAAAATCCCCCTGCTTCCACATGACCGTTCCTAAGGCATCAAGGCTCTGAGCAACGTCTGGATGCTCGTTGCCTAAAACTTTCTTTCTTATGTCAAGCACCATTTTAAACTTCTCGTTTGCCTGGGCAAAATTGCCTTGCATATGAACCACCATCCCCAACCAAAAAATGGCCCTTGCGACATCCGGATGCCCAGGATGAAATATGTCCTGCGCCATGTCAAGGGCAGCGCAGGCATGCTCTTTGGCCTTTGCAAAATCAGCCTTTTCAATCATCACTTGGGCTAAGCCTAGAAGGCTATCTGCTACATCCGGATGGCAGTCACCAAACACGTCCTTCCTGATGTCTAGTGCCCTGCGATGATGCTTTTCAGCTTCTGATAATTTTGCCTGTTTCTGCATTACCCGACCCATTCCACACAAGCTTCTTGCAGTCTCTGAATTTGCATCATGATGGTGATCACCATTCCCGATTCCCAGTGCCCGGCTGAAACATTGGTGGGCATCAGACAGCTTTCCTTGCTCAAGCAGCACCAATCCCAAGTCGTTCAGACTCTGCACAACATCTGTGTGCATCTGGCCCAACATCGTTTTTCTCATCCCCAGTGCCATGCTGCAATGCTCTTCAGCCTTCCGCAGCCTCCCCTGTTGCAGCGTCACCATCCCTAAGCAGCCCAGACACGTTGCCACATCTTGGCTTGTTGCTCCTGTGCATGCTTTATGGATATCCAAAGCCCTGGCGTGCGCTTTCTCAGCATCTGAAAAGTTCCCAAGCACAAGATAAATGCGCCCCAGCTGGTCCAAGCTCTTTGCTACCAGTGGGTGCTTATCTCCCAGCACTCTCATTCGGATATCCAGAGCCCTTTGCTGACCGTCTTTGGCCTCTTGGTACTTCCCTTGTGCTTTGAAAACCATGGAAGAAGTACTCAGTTTGTGCGCACTTTCGAGCGCCAGCTTTGATGACCCTTCTGTGGATCCACAGCCCGAGTCCTTGTCACCACACAGCACCCCGAAATGCACATCAGCCAACTATGCGTATTCCATCATATTCACTCCATCTGTTGCTGTTAGTTTAATGACAGACTCAAGCGCACAACATGGATGGAGCATCGATGAATAAAAGGCTTCTTTACATCTGTGCACTGCCAAGATTCGTTTTCTGTGTACAGTTTCATTCGAGGAGGCGCCCATGCTCCCACATATTAAAGTATCATTGCGATTTTGCATCTACGTCATCCTCGAGTTTATTACCCAAGATTTAAATTTCCAATGCGCCATTTTTCATTCTCTTATAGCACCCCCTGCTCTGCGCCCACCCACCCTAACGAACTTTATGACTAGCATACTTTACGTACGTTGGCATTGTTGCGCGAATGGCCCTCTCTTTCCAGAGCACCCATCTGGTAAGTCCTTCCGCCCCCAAAACAAACCATTTTCATCGGCACTGTGTACAAGCGGTAACGTTTCTTCGCTTGCAAATGAACTCAGTTGATATAATTACGACAAATTCCAGACAGAATTCGTTATTTGCATGTGAGTAGCAACGTCCACGTGTGCACGCAGGTGTCCTAGCACGATAAACATTGTCTAACGAGACTTTCAGGCATAATTTTCATTGGTCGCTGGATTGCACAGCTTTGTTGTAAAACATGGATTGAGCACATGCAAACGCGCTATGCATCAACGAAGCATCATAAATTGTACGGCGGTTAAGGATTAGTGTGAGCTGCGGACGCCAACAGGGGAATCAAGGCATGATATGTGCAGGGGGACAATGTCGGAAAGTTTCTGACATACGTAAGAAATCTGCCTTGTCCGTTAAGGCCAGTTGGGACGATATCCAATGGAAATGCAGAGTAATTTTGCCATCCAACAGGGCACCTGTTGGGCTTGTGCGTCGTGTGTGCATTGTGGATCCCTCGTGGGGTCGCGCTCCACTGTTCCAGCCATGTCGAACACCTGAAAGAGCATTGCACAGCGCAACACCACAACCACCACAAGTCTTCAGGAAGCGGAAATACAGAAAATGTTGCGCATTGATTGCACCACAAGTGTACAAAACTGCCCCGAGGAAAACGCAATTCGTTAAGATGTAAAACTCTGTGAAAAAATTCCTATATATGTGGACCCCGGAGTGGTCAATATCCAAGATATGATGCCGGCTTTGGGAGACGGACAGAGCATACTGACCTCGTCGCGGCAAAACGCTGCACCGCTCATTTCTTTCAAGCACTTGATGGGCGCCGCTTTTCGGGAACGGCTGTCACATCCCAGGCATGACAATGTGTGCAACGTACATGGTGGGCCAATATACGCACCTGACAGTCTCGAGGTGAGACTCCCCCCTTGTCCAAATCAGTCCACTCTGCCATCTGCAGAGCATCTCAGCGGGCAAGTAGTACGTTATTCAAAGTGAATCACGCGACATGCAAGGGAGTCAGGGGCTGTGTCAACTGCCGCGTGACGCATTCATTACAAAATTTTTATAACCGACACTTTTAAAGGGTCGGTGGGGGGCGCAGGGGCCGCAGGGTGCCAATCACACACAGAGTCCAGCAAAGAGGATTCGCCAACTCCGAAATATTGTTCTCTGATGGATGAAAACAGTGCAGTAAGGTAGGATGGCGCAATCCACAGAGGACAATTGTTTTGGGTCTGTTGCCTACAACATGTGAAAGGATGGGGCCGCACATTGCCTTAATTCAGGTCTGAGACATACTATAGGTTTTAATTCAAAACACGCAATAATACGCACATTTTCACAAGAACTCAAAACACGCGTACTTTGAGACGTATTCTAGGGCAATTGCACTAATCTGTTATAATGTGGCAAATATTAGGGCCTCGCCCTGCAACCGCATCCGCGCATAATCGCACACTCAGAGGCGGCGACACGGAGAAACGACTGGCCAAGGAGGCGCATCGCCCCGGCCCCAGCACACGAAGCTGACACCCTCCTTCGCTTCGCATTCCGCCCCATTTTGCGCATGCCTGGCACCTTTTTTTCTGCCAGGCGACTCTGACTCCGCCCAAAAGCCCCGCTCCTGAAGAAAGTTCCGTGTCGCGTGCTGTGCCCGTGCCGTGCCGTGCTGTGGGCTGGCAAAGAGCGTCCGCCCGCCCCCCTCGCGGTTCCGCCTCTGGCCGCCGATCGCGCAGGGAGGATCCAAGGCCTCAGCTTTTCAGCGCGAAAAAGAGTGCCTTTGGCGCTGTCGTGGGCCACCGGCAGGCGCCTAGGGGCGCTGGTCAAGCTCGAGGTGCCCTGCCCACCCCACGAAGGGCGCCGCCCCGCCGGCAGCACCTGACAGCACGGAAGTGTAGCTATCGATGGAACCATGGATTGACGCATTGTTGGACGCCGTCGCTCTGACTCCCTGCTGCCCGCGTGGCGATCGACGCCGAGGATCCGGAACGGCAACCGCGGGGGCCCGGCGACGATGGCGAAGGGCCCCGCGCTGTGGAAGGAGCTGCCGCCGCGCCGCCCGCCCCCCCCTCCCCCCCCTCCCCCCTTTTCCCACCCCAATCCCGCGGCGCCCCGGCGCCGCCAGCAAGGAAGGTGGACCAACGACGGGCCCCACCCCCACCCCCCAGGTCGCATCGGAGACTCGTCTTTTGCAGCCTGGAAAGAGTCTCGTACACGCCTGCTAAGCAGGAGGTGCCCCTTGTATGGCCCATTTCTTTCTCTCTTTGCAACAAATCTCCCTTCCCCTCCCCTCCCCCCAACCACTGCGACCCTTTTCGATGTCCGAGATGGATGGGGTTCGCGATCTGATCCCAAATGGCGGCACCTCGCGAGCAGCTTCGCACCTGGCACTGTTCCTGGCCGCCCAAGGAGGTTGCTCCGGGCGGACAGGTTCCGGGGGACCTGCCTCGACCGACGTTGACAAGTGTTGCCCCTCGCTGATTGTGTGCGCCCTCCCGAGGGGTCCCGTGCTGGCAAATCGCGCATGGGGAGATGTGGCGGCGGGGATTGAAGTGCAAGGGATGCTTCTTCGAGCCCTCCTCTTAGCTTCGAGCACTGGGTGGTGCCAGAACCCGATCTACACCAATTTTTGGTATAGTTTATCACGATTTGGTTTAATTGAATTTAGCGCATTCGATGGGGGGGTCGGTACTGTGTGGTCCCCGATTAGTTCGCCGCTGGGGAAGCTGCTGCTGGCGGACATTAATGAGGAGCAGGCGAAAATACACGGTTCTGAAATCGTGTACAGTGTAAATCTTGTAAATTGACTGGAAATCGTGTAAAAACCTTGTTGAGCGCTTATCATACGAAATGGGGACGAAACCGTGCAGCAGCGATTGGGTAAGTGTACATGATTTCTATAGGTTTGCGCGGTTTGGACCATTTTTTACACGGTTCGAAACCGTGTTATTTAGCCGATTCTTTACTTGCAGGGAAACAGCTCTTTTGCAATACCAATGGCAACACCATTGGGATGCTGAGTCGCTAGAGGGACGGCGTCCTGCGGCGTCGCCCATTCTCCAAGTTGCAGGGGTTCTGCGACGTCGCAGCTCCCTCGCCCATGGCGTCAGTGGGGCAACTTTGGGCCATGCCAGCACCAGCGATGGGCCTGATGAACCCTCTACCCCCCTTCCGACAAGTCCCGCAGACGGTGCTGACGCACCGCCCTTCCAACTCCTCCCTGCGACGTTGCACGAGGCGGGGCCTTTCTTTGCTGAGTTGGGTCATTGCAGAGATTTGTGTGGCACAAAAGCAGCCGTGGTGGCATCCATACGTCTCAGGACGCACGAGAAGCGGCATCGCTAAAATGCTGCTCGTCCTGGAGGGGGGGTCTGGGAAAGCGACGGAGGCAACAGACTTACAGATGAATCCCCTACCACAATGCCATTTACGGCCAGGCCATCCATTCATTTAATCGCGAAAATGTAAGCTCAGTGCCCTGCTGTGCGCGGCCTTGTGGTGCGGCGCATGCGCCAAGCCCAACAGCTCATGTACCCGGCCGACTCATCCACCAACAGACAGCACCGTGGTTGTGATGCCAAATGCAACACCATTTTGACGCTGAGTGGGGCCATCACAGTGGGTGCGGTGGCATGAAAGCGGCAGTCATGGCATCGGTTGGTTTCAAATGGCATCGCAGTTGGCAAAACAGAAGTGGCGCTTTCTGCGATCCCCACCAACAAGCATAGCTGGTGAGGATCTACCCTGGCGTACCATGGCCGTGGTGTGGAAAATACGGAAGCTGCTTGGTGGCTTTAAGGAACCCCATGTATTCCACGAGCATAGACACGCGTCGCACATGTGGCGGGCATGTGCCATGTATACACCAGCCTTCTTTCCATCAGGGGAGGCGTCGCGTTGGCAATGTTAGTTGTGGTGTCCATGGGCGCCACAGTTGGCATTGCCAACGTAGGGTTTGGTGACAGCGTCACGGTACGAAATGGCCATTTAACGTCAATTACAGTTGGAGTTAATTGATGCCATCACGGCTGATTTGGTCAGGCTTGGAAAGAATGAACTGCTTTTGCTCAAAACACCAAAATACAGCAATAATGGACAAATATTGAAATGCGCATATCTCGAAGCGCGTCCTGGCAGTTTTATCCAATTGACATTTATTCTGGCGAATCAGTGGCTGCAGTTTTGAAACGCACCATGCAGCAACTGGGGATCTTGGCGCGCTCTTGGTGAAGAGAGGAGATCGTTGCAGTGCCGAAGGTCTCCGCTGCGGTGGAGCGCTTCACAGTAATACACGCTGACGGTGTGCATGCTTGTACTAGTACACCAGTACTGGTGGCACACGCGTGTGACACACAGAGTGTTGCAGTATTATTACAGTAGTGTCTGATGCTCCACGGCAAAGAGTAGTCAAAGTAGTCCGCACTGATTCTGACTGACCGTGGAGTTGTTGTGACAGACGGCCATGAACTGGCGGCTGTGGCTGGTGTTGCAATCTTGCCGGCATCAGTAGATACGGGCTGCTGTGCGCCGTGGGGACGTGCCAGGAACAGTGGCTGCGGATGTGATTCACTTGCAAGAGCCCCGCCTTGAAAGGAAATGGCGCAATGAAATCGCAAAACTCGGCACCCCTAGTCGTGCTCGGGGGAGTGGAAGAGGCGGGCAACTGGGAAAAGCACTCCAGCGAGACCTCCAGGGCTCTTGAAGGGAAATACCACGGCAATCGCCCCGTTTGGTCAATCCCTGCAGAAGCAATTGTCAAATTGGAAAGGCCACCCCCAAACCCCTACCCACCCCTCTCCAAAACAGCCACTTTTTCCAATCTGAGACCAAGAGTCGCCAAAAGGTACTCCAGGGCGGCCGCCCATCTTGCTCGAGTTGAAGATCGCAGTGAGCGATCGGTTTCATTGATCGCCTTGAACAGGTGTTGTCGAATTGGCTTTCCCCTAACCCCTCCACCCCACCCCGATCCCCCTCCCGAACGCGTCTGGAGGCAAGGCCGTAAGCGATGGCAGTCGCTACCGCCGCCCACTCGCCACATTGGCGCGTGGCTCGCCCTGCCCGTTGCACCTCCCCCAGTTTGATGTTATTTTAACACAGTCTGAAAAATTTTAAAGCCTCGTAGAACGATCGCCGTTTCACGGAAGAAGTATTCGACTATGTAGTGTAAAGTGCTGAACCCTGTGCCCCACTTTGCAGCAATGGTGTCAAAGTGCAATTGCAATAACGCGGCACCGTGCCCCTGGTGTGTTACCATTGGGCGGCAGAATTAGTAGTTAGCTATTAACATTTTTGTTACTGTCTATTGCTACTAATTTTAGCAGTTTGGCAGCGCTATTTCAGCAACCACTGCCGATGACCAACGGGTGCTGCAGCAACAGATCCAGTCCACCGGATGGCAAAGTCCCTTACAAGGATCCATTCCCAATGGCCGGAGCCTGCCCCCCTCAAGTTACTTCCTCTAGATTGCACTTCTTGCTAGCCATCTGCGGCGCTAATTACCAGCAACTCCGTGCCTCGTACATGCAGGCAAATGGAAATTAAAAAATCGCGGTCAATAAAGTTTCATTCTGATTAAGATACCGATATATGCAATTATATTAATTCATAGTGCAATGGTCGTTTGTGCACCTCAAATGACGTTCCAGATTCTTTCCGACTTATTTTGTGTTTGGTGCAGCTGCTCTGTCATTCCTTCCTTACAGCACTATCCAAGGACATCAAAGGAGGGATATTAAATGTGGGCACGGCCGAGAATACCAGTATAGCAAATATGTGTATGCTTGGGTCGCCAATAATGCTTACACTCTACAATATGATGCACACGGTGATTGGCTCCCAATTGAGGCAAAACTTAGGATGTGCACAGTGGCACAAAGAGTCAACTGATGTTTAAGATTACTTGATAGGTAGTTTTGATGATTTATATGATTTATATGATTTATATGATACAGT